CCTCCCCAGCTGCTGTCGCTCTGTTTTTGTTCTGTCTCTGTCTAGGAACACCCTCTTGTACTCTTCCGAGAAATTTCAATCGTGGTTTCTCTTGGAGGATCCTGTTCCGCACTGTTCCGTCCTGAGAATCAGCTTGATTGGTCGGTTTCTCCCCTTCGAGTACCCCCCTATTCTCTGAAAATTTACAATCTCGTCCATCTCTTCACCTATTTCCGTGATGATTTTCTCAATCTCCTTTCCTTCTTCCTGCTTCCTTTCAGTGTGTGTCCTTTCCTCTCTCTCCTGAAGCCCATGGATAAACACTGATTTTGCCCTTTCTTCCTCCCATTGCCTCACCCTCTGTGACTCTGGATCCTGCCTGTATGTGGTCAGTTTCTCCCTTGATTTTTCCAGTGGCTCTTGATAGCCTTGTTGTGCCTCAGCATTCGACCTATCACCCTCTCCATCTGCAACCAGCTGATCTTCCCTTTCACTCCTTGATCCTCCTTGCAGATTGATGTGACCTTAGCATAATTCATAATTCCTTCCTTCCTGTTCAGCCTCGCAGCTTCATATGCTGTGTCTTCTCTGGTCACTGCCCCTGTAACTCGCTCCAGCCTATTTATCTCAACTTCTAGGACCCTTATCTTGGCTACTGCAGTTTCGACTTGTGCCTCCCAATTCTTTGTTTCCTGCTCCAACCTCCTTTCCAATTTCACAGAGAGCTTTTTCTTTCTCCATTTTTTCAGAAAGCTCTCCCTAATTTTCTCTCCCACTCTGTGTGTGTGTGTGTGTGTGTGTGTGTGTGTGTGTGTGTGTGTGTGGTGTGTATGTGTGTGTGGTGTGTGTGTGTGTGTGTGATATGAGTGTGTGTGTGTGTGTATGAGTGTGTGTGTGTGTGTGTTGAGTGTGTGTGTGTGTGTATGAGTGTGTGTGCATGTGTGTATGAGTTTGAGTGTGTGTGTGTGTGTGTGTGTGTGTTGTGTGTTTGTGTGTGTGTGTGTGTTGTGTGTGTGTGTGTGTGTGTGTGTGTGTGTGGTGTTTATGTGTGTGTGTGTATGAATTTGTATGTGTGTTGTGTGTGTGTGTGTGTGTGTGTGTGTGAGAGAGAGAGAGAGACTCAGCAATCAACATTAGCACCAATAACTCACTACAGTTGTGACCGGGTGTGGAAGTGTGAATTGCTCATTACTCTAAAATTTGTTCATGATTGCAGCCATGTATAAACGTAAGTAACCATTCTTACAGTATTCATTACCTTTGTAACTTGTGATTTCATTACCTTTGTAACTTGTGAGTTCATTACCTTGTACCTAGTTCAGCCATCAAAACTTTGGAGCCCGGTCCCTGGACCCTTTGTACCTCTGTAATCTGTAAATACCTTTGTAACTTGTCATGATTGTGACTAGACCTACCTGGAGTTCATTACCTTTGTAAATTGTGAGTTCATTACCTTTGTAAATTGTGAATCATTACCTCTGTAACTTGCTCACTATCAAAACTTTGAGGCCCAGTCCCTGGACCCATTATGTACCTCTGTAATCTTTTGACTACCGACCACAGGATGGGTATGGGGTGCATAATAAACATATTAAACTAACTAACATTGGTCTTCAGATGCATGATAGAACTAATAAATTGGCTACGCTGTATTCTTTCAAAGAGGGAGTAGATTACACTCTGGGTTGTCAGTTAGCAGTTGAGAACAATAATACGAAAAGAACTTCAACTGAATTTTATTGACTTAAGACTCAGGAAGATTGACACAAGTCAGTCCATCTATCATCATTCCATCATGCAGGAGGAGCCACATGTCTATGGTGCATCCAACAAAATAAGCAGACTTTTGGGATGCCGCTACTGCCCGGCTCCAAACGAAATGTAAACTTTGCTAGATGGACTATTGTCACACCTTGCGTCATTGTGTACTGGAGTGCGATAAAATCAATGAATTTAGAGACAACTCACTCAGAAATGTTCAAGATATGTCTAAGTATTTTATCCACAGTGGTATTATACACACCATTCTGGAGAAATACCCTGACTTTGCTCCCTGTAAATAAAGCATTACCACGTGTGTGTGTGTGTGTGTTAGTTACCATTTTGTCCTAGGCACATGTCGATTAGACACTAGGCCTGTTCTATATGCGTGTGTGTGTGTGTGTGTGTGTGGTGTGTGTGTGTGTGTGTGTGGTGTGTGTGTGTGTGTGTGTGTGTGTGTGTGTGTGTGTGTGTGTGTGTGTGTGTGTGTGTGTGTGTGTGTGTGTGTGTGTACTCACCTAATTGTGGTTGCAGGGGTCGATACTCAGATACTCAGCTCCTGGCCCCGCCTCTTCACTGACCGCTACTGGGTCCTCCCTCTCTCTGCTCCATGAGCTTTATCATACCTCGTCTTAAAACTATGTATGGTTCCTGCCTCCACTACATCGGCTTCCAGACTATTCCACTTCCTAACAACTCTGTGGCTGAAGAAATACTTCCTAACATCCCTTTGACTCATCTGAGTCTACAGCTTCCAGTTGTTATCCCTTGTTTGTGTGCCCCCTCTCTGGAACATCCTGTCTTTGTCCACTTTATCTATTCCACGCAGTATTTTGTATGTCGTTATCATGTCTCCCCTGACCCTCCTGTCCTCCAGTGTCGCCAGACCGATTTCCCTTAACCTTTCTTCGTAGGACATTTCCCTTAGCTCTGGAACTAGCCCTGTTGCAAACCTATCCACTTTCTCAAATTTCTTGACGTGCTTGAACAGGTGTGGGTTCCAAACTGGTGTTGCGTACTCCAGTATGGGCCTGACGTGCACAGTGTATTGAGTCTTGAATGATTCCTTACTGAGATACCGAAACGCTATTTCTCAGGTTTACCAGGCGCCCATATGCCGCAGCATTTTTATCTGGTTAATGTGTGCTTCTGGCGACGTACTCGGTAATATACTCACCCCTAGTTCTTTCTCCTTGAGTGAGGTTTGCAGTCTTTGGCCACCTAGCCTATACTCTGTCTGCGGTTTTCTTTGCCCTTCCCCGATCTTCATGGCTGCATTTGGCGGGGTTAAATTCTATTCTAGGAGCCAGTTGCTGGACCACGCGTCCAGCCTGTCCAGGTCTCTTTGTAGACCTGTCTGGTCCGCATCTGATTTACTATACATCAGGGAATGTTCCAGAAAGTACCAGAAGATAAGATTCCATGTAAAGATCCCTACATGTTTACCTACTATCATATTTACCTACCCTGCAACAAACACATACTAAATATTGTAATAATAACTGTATTCCTAGATATGATAAGCCTGAGTGTCTTCTATCATTAGGAATAACTTTAGTTTTCCTGGGCAATTTACACATGCTGCTAGTAAGTATAACAGTCGCCATCACCTATATGTTGCTAGGTATGATAGTTGCAGTTACCTTAACCTGTGTATTTCAGGATATTCTTAAAAGACTGAATGTCTATCACTCAGTTCCCAGTTACTATGTCTACCTTTCTTGGGTTATCCCAGGTTATCCTTGTTGAACTCTTGCTGCGAGAGTAGCATGACTGTCTCGCGATTGGCAGACAGAGAATGAAGGCTCCATAACATCTTGAGCTTAATTATCCATATGGGTTATCGCTCCACATATATAACATAATAATCTCCACCCTTACTGACGCTGAATGACCCACACGAGTTTAATAACTTAACATAAATACAAGTAAATTTACCTGGTTTATCTGCCAGGCGTTACCATCCTGTGCATGACAAGAACCCCTCAGACCAATCTGGAAGGTGGCGTGGGGGTCTATGAGGTCTTCTTCGAGCGCTCTTCTGAAGGGTGATCCATGGTTGATCTTGGCTCCTAGGGTGATGTCTGATACATCAGGATGAGCATCCACAAGCACCAGTCCCACCCTGCCTCTCCGAGCCTGCCCATAAGAAGCAATATGCCCTATACTCAAAAATAAAACTATACATACTTAACCCACATATATATATATATATATATATTATATATATATATAATATATATATATATATATATATATATATATATATATAGAGAGAGAGAGAGAGAGAGAGAGAGAGAGAGATAGATAGAGATAGATATTTCGCATGGTGATAGATTTAGATTAGATTTTGCCACCGAAGTGGCTAGTTTATTGTGCACCCCATATCCATCCTGTGGACGGTAGCGCGAGAGCATGTGGATACACAAAAGGCCTAGGAACTAGGCCCCAAAGGGTTAACAGGAATACATATGGATTTATATCTACATATCTATAGTTCACTTATCTGTTACAAGCAAATTTAGGAAATTTGCTTAGTATATCTGGTATCTTATTTTCATTAATAAGATATCTTGACATGTCACATAGGTTATTATAATGTCTGTCCCCTGTATTCCTCAATAAGTGACAATTAAGCACATAGTGTTCAAGAGAGTGACCATATGCCTGATCACATAATTTACATTTAGTTTGATCATCATCTGTGTGTCTCCCAAACTGCCAGAAGTACTTATGGTGAGGATCTCTGTCTTGGAGTATTTTACATGTAAAACGTGATCAGGTTCGTTCAGCCAAGAAGTAAATATTCTCTTTCTTTCATTTCTGTTAGTATAATGCTCGGTGCGAGCTTCGTGCAGGAACTTACTTAAGAACAGTGCTCTACGAGATTCTGTTCAGATATATATACCAAAGAGTCTTCAGATTACTAGTCTCACAGATATCCTTTTCTTTGACAGTTGAAATATAACCCTAGTAATGTTCGAAGAATGGTATGTAATTGAAAAGAAGATGAAGATTCCGTTAGGATAACCCTATGAAGAGAGGAAATCATTAAAGGAAAGTGACAACAAGGTTTAACATACGTATGCTAAGTCTTTCCTTCCTGGCCATGAAATTTGCTTCTGTTTTTTTTTTTATTTAAAGCTTTCCTGCTAGGCGCTCTTGGAATGACATACATTTTGAGATCACTTTCTTCCCTTCTAACAAAAGAAAGGTTATATATGTAGTTAGTGAGGGTTACCTTGATGGCCTGTAGGATGGGGTAAGTGATGGTGTGGTCGCCGCCCATCGTCAAAGGAATACAGCCAGTGCTGAGGAGTTCCATATAGCGATCCCTGATGTTGTTGCACGCCTCAGGTAAGCTGTGGATGGGCATTTGCAACTTGTATATTTACTACCAATTCAGAGTCATGTACTTATATATCTGTTATATCTATGTGACTCTGAGGGGGTTTGTATTATACCCCTTTAAGAATATTTTATTATTTCACATACACCTTTTAAATTACACCAAAGTGGTTGGGCCACTTACCTTTTATATCCTACCTCTCTCCCCCCTCCCACCCTTTTCCAATATTTCTATCCTTACCCATCTTACCAAAGCTCTAGTCATAAGAAGAAGAAAAAGGGCCATGGCACCTTCAGTGTGTGTAATTACCGGTTGTAAAAGGCACTTGTCGAAAGACACTTTTTTGTTTTGTGTGTGTGTGTGTATATATTTTGAGTCTGAGTGAGTGTGTGTGTGTGTGTGTGTGTGTGTACTCACCTAGTTGTGGTTACGGGGTTCGATTCACAGCTCCTGGCCCCGCCTCTTCAACTGGCTGCTAGCCAGTCACTCTTCCCGCTCCTCGAGCTTTACCATACCTCTTCTTAAAGCTATGTATGTATCCTTCCTCCACTACATCACTACCCAGACTATTCCACTTCCTGACAACTCTGTGACTGTCCACCTTGTCTATACGTCTCAGTATTTTATATGTCGTTATCATATCCCCCCTATCTCTCCTGTCTTCTAGTGTCGTCAGGTCGATTTCCCTTAACCTCTCCTCGTAGGACATACCTCTTAGCTCCGGGACTAGTCTTGTTGCAAACCTTTGCACTTTCTCTAGTTTCCTTACATGCTTGGCTAGGTGAGGGTTCCCAACTGGCTCTGCATATTCCAATATGGGCCTAGTGTACATTGTATACAGGGCCCTGAATGATTCCTTATTTAGATGTCGGAATGCTGCTCTGAGGTTTGCCAGGCGCCCGTATGCTGTAGCAGTTATTTGGTTTTGATGTGCGCCACAGATGTGCCAGTGTTATACACACACCAAGATCCTTTTCCTTGAGTGAGGTTTGTAGGCTCTGACCCCCTAGACTGTACTCCGTCTGTGGTCTTCTTTGCCATCCCCAATCTTCATGACTTTCCACTTGGTGGGGATGAACTGCAGGAGCCAGTTGCTGGACCAGGCCTGCAGTCTGTCCAGATCCCTCTGTAGTTCTGCCTGGTCCTGGTCCGATTGAATTCTTCTCAACTTCACATCATCTGCAAACAGGGACACTTCGGATTTCATTCCTTCCATCATGTTCACAAATATCAGAATCAGCACTGGTCCTAGGACTGATCCCTGTGGCACCCTGCTCGTTACAGGCGCCCACTGTGACAACTCTCCACGTACCATGACTCGCTGTTGTCTTCCTGACAGGTATTCCCTGATCCACTGTAGTGCCTTCCCTGTTATCCCTGTCTGGTCCTCCAGCTTCCGCACTAATCTCTTGTGTGGAACTGTGTCAAACGCCATCTTACAGTCCAAGAAAATGCAATCTACCCACCCCTCTCTCTCTTGTCTTACTGCTGTCACCCTGTCATAGAACTCCAGTAGGTTTGTGATGCAGGATTTCCCGTCCCTGAAACCGTGCTGGCTGTCGTTGATAAGCTCATTCCTTTCTCGGTGCTCCACCACTCTTCTGATAATTTTCTGCATGACCTTGCATACTATACACATCAGTGACACTAGTCTGTAGTTTAATGCTCCATGTCTGTCTTCTTTTTAAAAAATTGGGACTACATTTGCTGTCTTCCATACTTCCAGTAGTCGTCCTGTTTCGATAGAAGTGTTGAAGATAGTTGTTAGTGGCACACAAAGAACTTCTGCTCCCTCTCTCAGGACCCATGGAGAGATGTTATTCGGCCCTATCGCCTTTGAGGTATCTAGCTCGCTTAACAGCCTCTTCACTTCTTCCTCGATTGTATATATTGTGACCAACTCTTGATGGTGTACCCCACCTTTCTGGAGGTCCTTCTGTCTCCTCTGTGAACACTTCTTTGAATCTTGTGTTGAGCTCCTGACACACTTCGCAGTCGTTTTTTGTGACCTCCCCTCTTTCCTTCCTCAGCCTGATTACCTGGTCCTTGACTGTTGTTTTCCTCCTGATATGGCTGTACAACAGCTTTGGGTCAGATTTGTCTTTCGCTGCTATGTCATTCTCATATTGCCTTTGGGCCTCCCGTTTTACCTGTGCATATTCATTTCTGGCTCTATGACTGGTCTCCTTATTCTCCTGGGTTCTTTGCCTTCTATACTTCTTCCATTCCTAGCACACTTGGTTTTGGCCTCCTTGCACCTTTGGGTGAACCACGGGGTCATCCTGGCTTTTTCATTATTCCTGTTACTCCTAGGTACAAACCTCTCCTCAGCTTCCTTGCATCTTGTTGTCACATATTCCATCATCTCGTCCACTGACTTCCCTGCCAGTCCTGTCCCACTGAACCCTGTTCAGGAAGTTTTTCATACTTGCGTAGTCCCCTTTCTTGTAGTGTGGCTTCACTCGTCTGGCCCTTTCCCTTCCCCCTTTTTCCCCCCTTTTCCAAACTTGAAACTCTACAAAATGCATTCGAAAGCTTAAAACCCTGTTCCCCGGGGGCCCCCCCAAAGGGGTTTTTAAAAATATTGAGGCCCTCAATTTTTTGCATACTAAAGGGTGAATTAAGGTCCAGTCTCGCGGGTTTCTTTTCCTCTCTTTTCTCTCTCGGGAAATGGGTGTCCCTTACGTTTTTGGGAAACAGGGATGCTTTCCAGTAAACCTCCATCATCTTGGCTCCCCCCCACGTTTTTTTTGGCCCAACCCATTTGGTTTTAAGTTCCCCCAAATTTTGGTTTTTCCTTTGGGGGTTGAAGCACCCATGTTTCAGTAGCTTTTCCCTTTTGCTGGCATGACCCCTTCTGGCCCCCTCACCCAGTGTGTCGCCATGCCTTTTTTACCCCCCATCATATTTTCCCTTTGGGCCGCCGGCTTTCGGGTGGTGGGTTATACATAATTTAAAATTCCCCCTTAGGCCCCTCCAGCCCGGAAGGGTTGTACATATAATCCCCTGTTTTTTTCCTCTGTCCCCCTGTGTGTGTGTGGTGTTTTTTTACTCACTATTTTTTTTTTGGTTTTTGCAGGGTCGAGTAAATACTTCGGGCCCCCCTCCTTTTCACTGTTTGGTTTACTGGGTTCCTCTCCCCCTGTCCTGAGCTTCCCAAACCTCGTTTTAAAAACAAGGTAGAGGTCCTGCCTCCACAAATTTCCACCCCCCAGACTAATCCTTTTCCTACAACTTGATGAAGAAAATATTTCCTAAACATCCCTTTGACTCATTGGATTTTCCCAATTTCCCCCAATTTGTGACCCTTGCCCCTGTGCCCCTTTTCCCTGGAACTTTCCCCCTTTGTCTATTAAAGCCCAATTCCTCGCAGTATTTAATATGTCGTTATCATGTCCCCCCCTAACTTTTCCTGCCCTCCAGTGTCGTCAGGCCCGTTTTCCCCCTTAAAACCTTTTTTTGGGGAAACAATCCCCTTAGTTTGGGGGCTAGTCTTTTTGGGCAAACCTTTGCATTTCCCCCAAATTTTTTTAAACGTGCTTGACCAGGAAATTTTTTCCCAAAAACGGGGCCCTTCCATACTCCAATGTGGGGCCTGACTTTCATGGTGTGCAGAGCTTGAACAAATGCCCTTACGGGGGGTTTTGGTACTTATTCTCGGGGTTTCCCCAGGGCCCATTTGCTCAGTAGTTACCCTGAGTATGTGCCCCCTAGGAAAATGTCCCTCGTTTTTTATACTCACCCCAAGATTTCCCTTGAGTGCTTTTGCAGTCTTTTGGCCCCCAACCCCAATATTTCTTTTCTGCGGTCTTCTTTCCCCCCCCGTCTTCATGTTTTTACTTTTGGGGGGGTTAAAAATTTCAAGGGCCAGTTGCTGGCCCGGGCTTGTAGCTTGTCCGGGTTCTCTTTTGGTCCTCCCTGATCCTAATCCGTTTTAAAATTCCCTCCTCATTATTTTCCACATCATCTGAAAAACGGGGAACACTTCGGGTTCTATCCCTTCCCATCGTGTCATTCCTATATACCAAAAAACCCAGACAGGTCCTAGGACTGACCCCTGTGGAACCTCACTCGTCCGGTGCCCACCCCTTTGCCACCCCCGTCACGTACCATGATTGTTGTTCCCCTCCCTGTAAAATATTTCTCTGATTCAGTGCGTGTAAAGGTGTGTGCGCGCGCTTGAAACACCCCTTACTCCCCAATGAAATTTTTATTAAAAAAATTTTGCTTTTTTATTTTTAATAAAGAAAAGTTCTTATTTTCTGGACTTAGCTCCGAGAAAAATTTAGGCAGTTTTTAAAAAATTTAAATCAGTTTCCTGAAATATTTAAAATAGATCTAAATTTCTACCAAGAGCCCCAACCCCAAAAAGGGCGTAGATCAGAACACGCCCAAAATTTCCCCCCCACCCAAACTAAACCCCCCCCCCCACCAAAAAACAATTTTAACCCTAAAAACCTCCCTTCCCCACCATCAACCATCTCCAAACCCCTCAGTCACCCCAAAACCCCCCTACCCCACACATACACACACCCTTTTTGGCCCCGGGCCCCGGGTAACTACAACTTTTTAACTCCCCCCCTTCCCTCCCCTTTTCCATTTGTTTATTTATTTCTTTAAGAAGTCACTCTCCCCCCCTCCTTCTCAAGATATAATCGTATGAAAAATATCCTCCCCCGGGTGGCTTTGTTAACCCCTTTTTCATTTAGTTATTTGTTTTTTTTTACTTAGGGGAAGCGAGCAAAAACAGGCAGGCAGGGATTTCAGACCTGAGGAGTACGGAGAATGCAGTAATTTTTTCATTTTCTGCCCCGTGCACCCCTGTTTCACTGTCTGTTTGTTTGGCTGGGGGAGTACTTATTCTCTTGTATGTTCCAAATTTAAAGTTTTTCTGTTGATTATTATTTAACTAGAATGAAGAATCGTGAAATTTAGAAAAAAATTTTTTTTTTTTTTTTTTTTTGTTTTTTTATCAAAATTAAAGTTCTTCATTTGTACAAATTTAAAAAATAG